GTGGAGGTAAACACGTACTGGTGTCGATTGACTGCTGGCTGACTGCAGATCGGAAGCCGTATGTATGTATGTAGGTATGTAGGTATGTATGTATGTATTGCACAGTACATATCTGCGCATTACTCGAGCCGGCAAACAGGGATGTCGACCCTCTCGCGCCTAAACTGGATTCTCATCAATGCAGCGGGGGCGCGAGTTGACGCTCGCTTTTTGCAGAGGGAGAGGGACGTAGCTTTGAGGATCTGACCATGGCTCTCGACGATGTTCCCAGGTTGTGCGGGGGACAGAAAATCTCGGATCACCGCGACATATCCGGGCCTGATGAATGTCAATGTGTTACCCGGTGCCGCAAGAGCGGGTTCTGGCGTCGGTTGAGTGATGTCGCATAAATGCGCATGGAAAGGGAGTTCCCGGACTGTTTGAAGTGCACGGATCTGGAACCTTTGGAAGCTTTCGATTTTCCCTCAGTGTAGCATGCCAAGGCCCAACGTCTCTCTCGTCAGCTAACGTCAAACCCGGAGAGCGCGGTATCGAAGATGATGAAGTGAAGGGTCTGAGTTTGCGTTGCGGTAGCAGATGTCTTTGGTGGTTGTCAACAGTCATGGTAAAGGGTGTGTCGAAGGCTTGGCATACAAGACAATGTCATTGGTTGGTAGAAATTGGTGATTCCAAGCAAAAGCCATGAACAAAAAGTCCTAGGGACTATCTCAAGGGTCAACATCTTGGAGTGAATACAAGGTATTGGGGAGCATGAATTAGGCTGGGCACCCGTAGCCGCGGAGGATGCTATGCTCCATGGCTCCCTACGTTGTGGATTGAAGATATGCAGGCGCTCGCTTGAAATCTCAAGATATTGATGGTGGCTGAGTAGTCGGCTCGTCGTTAACCGTCCCCTTGGGCGTGGACTACCACGAGTGATGGATCCTGACATGTGCTTGGCCGTCCTCCTAATGTCTTCTGCCGCATGCAGGGATGCTTGCATGCAAGTCGTGTGTGGCACCCGAGATGTCGGCGCATCTGACGATATCTCTTGTTCCTGTCTGTACTTTGTTTTCCATGGCGTCCGTGGCTCGGTGGGCGAGGCCGTCTTCAGCTGTCAGTTCCATCCATCCCACGCGGTCGGGTGACGGGCAGGCGAGACGAGTGATTTGTAAAAAGACAATACAAGGTTGCATGACGCACGCTTCGACTGCAGGTGCACCGGTGCTTTGCTGGCGATCCGGGACTTCAGACGACCGCTTTTGGCTTCTTGTAACTGTCGAGTTTACCGTTTGTGGCCGTTACGGCCCTCCTTTGGGGTTCTTTGCTTGGGGGATCTCCAAACCTGATGATTCTTGGCACCGGAAGGCGCCATACGATGTGCTTAGCGTGCCCTGGCACCGCTGTCGCTACGGCGCTGTGCAGCCGCCTGTCAGTGACTGCCTGAGTGACCCCCGCCTGGCGCCACACAGACACCTCATCCATCCACATTTTGTCGATGGAGACAGTGTGCAACGGCACTGTGTTGGAATGCTTCCTTTGACAAGCGAATATTTATTACCCCAATTTTGGAACTTATAGAGTGCCTGGCACACTTCTCGGGACGCCCCTCGTCACCTACCGCCGTCGTGATGGTGTGAACAGGCAGTGAGAGGGTAGACCGTCGCCTTAAAGCTCGAATTCCGCGCCGCGGCTAGAATCAAGGATAGGAAGATGTGCAATATAGGTCTAGTGGAGGGACTCTTCTAGACCTGCCGTCTCTGTCACGGTGAGCAGAGGAACTTTGGCCCTAGTCACGCGAGATGCTCTCCAGCATACGATATAATTACGGCCAGTGCTATTCTTGGAAAATAGCAGGCCGTTGACGGTCGCCTTCTGGGGATCGAGAGCTGATCTCTCTTCCCTGGCAGCCCGAACCAAGATGTCTAGATGAGGGGGCCCAATATCGAGGACGACCCGACCAGGTAGCTGATAGATTGTATGTTGGACTCAACTCTGGCAGCTGCGGGGGGTCCTGCGGCGATTACGGAGCAGCAGCTCGAAATATGTGCGCTTGCAGACAGGTCCAAGTGGTTGTCGAACTTTCTCTGATTGGGTGGAAGGAAGCTGTGAACCTTTATGTCGCACGAATTATAGCCTCATAGAACAAGGATTCATGGTTGAAGGAGGTGGTCACACTCATCTTTCTCGCGACCGCGTCTGCGCGGTTCCTCGACGAGGCGGCTCGATTTGCTTGAGAAGTGAGATTGCGAGAGAGTTCGTCTTCATCATCGAATAGGAACGCCGCCAGCTTTCCGTGGGATTACGCCGCTCTTGTACGCTCACGAACCCCTCACGAGGCACACACACCCCCAGCATAGTGCGTTGCTTCTCCAAGTGGTGATGAAAGAGGTGAGGGGAACTGGTGGCAGCACCCGAGGCATCCGTCAGCAGCGGAACCCGGCCGAGGGGCATGAGAATAGCTATGAGGACCTGCCTCTGCTGGACGTGGATAGATGAAGCTGTCAGGGATGGCAGCGGGAGCTTAATTGCAATTTAAACCAACACCATCTTGTGACTGGCAACCGACAATGTGGGATTGCCCACCTGCCCCCGTGGAGCCATATACCGGATTCTGAGCAGCCAATGGGGCGGCAAGGCCAGCTTCATGTTGCTGTACCGGTGAGGAAGCTGGTTAGAAGCCCACCTCGGAGCCAGGTTGAGTGTCGCGCATTACTTGTCGCAGCCTGTGCATAATCGCAGTGTTGAGATTCTTGGGAAACGACATTGAGTCGTGATGTCTGCTAGTCTTGTCGTCGTCAGCCCTACGGTATCAGATTCAGCAGTGCCGCCATAACCCCACTTTCTTCCCACTTCTAGGTTCAAGGTCTGCTAGTCTGACGACTCGAGACAATCACACTCTCGTCCAAAGCTGGGTGATTAGGGCTCAAACCTGGAGAAAAAAAGAGCAGAACTGGACAAATAACGGCACAGTGTCAACACCTGAGGGATGATTCCGACATGCGGGTGTCCAGATGGCAGCCGCGACTGCACAGCAACTCCAAGCTGCGACCTTGAGGTGGCCTCGGGGTACCTCTCATTACCTCAACCCCACCCGTGAAGCTGGTTGAGCGAACAGAACCCCGGTAAAGCTCGCTGGGACACACTGGGGACCCCCCCAGTCCTTTTCCCGCACCCGCTGTGCACGACACACAGACACCGTGCCGAAGGTGGGTGGCCATGCCGGCTTCTGTGGTTGTGTCCTGGGTTCTGCGCACTGTCTTTGAGAGGTACCTGATGTACCTCCAACTTCTCCAGCTCGACCCGACCGGGCTCACGGCATCAGGAGGTCTGTGAGTGTATTCCGGCCTTCCTGTTGTCTGATGATCTCTCTCCTCGGCCATCGAAAGTTTCCAAGAAGGTAGGCTTGCAAGGGAACGGAACCTCACTCACAAAGAACCAAGGATGACGACAGTGCGCCGTCTGTGCCAGCTCAATACCAGCAACTCGGGCGAGTCAAAACTATCTCCGAGTTCCATAGCATTCACTTGGAGAACGTTGCAGACCAGGTTTGCGTCTTGCAGGGTCGAGACACAAGCTTGAATGGAAGGGCCCTTGTGACGGCAGTGATGCAACTGTGAGGGAAGAAGCGATATTGAGAGCATGTTGAAGAGTCAGTCCCTTAACTTGCGGCTGAAATAATTTTGCGCCAAGGAAAGGGACTAAACACCGTGATGATCGGGTCTCTCCTGTAGAAACCGAAGACGAGGTATATCATATCATATCAGGACCTCTTGAAAGAAGGTACCGGATCAGTACAAGACGCCCAGTGCGGATAGGGGAGAAGTGTGAAGGTCCAGGGTGGTGGAGACCTTTTCTTACACCCCCGGGCCGCCTCTTGAGCTCCAGGGCTCTAGTTTTGTAAGTAGCTTTAAGCCCCGGGGTAATGCCCAGCTTGCCGGCCCCAGCTCCCCCGGCCACCCACCGTCTTTTGTCCGTCCAAATCATAATCTCCACACCACTCGATCTCGGACGGGCCCCCATGCATTTGACAGCACCCAGCTACCCAGCTTGACGCAAGACTCTCGCATCAACAGCTCTTCTACTGTTTCACTTTGGCTGGAAAAGACTCTGCCGGGGTGTGAGGGAGCTTACCGCTACTGACTGACATATGTATATAAGTCCAAAGACGCCGCCCTCGAGCTGTCACCTTGGTCGCCACCAGAACCCAGCAAGAAAGCAATCAAGTTGAACACATCACCGAACCCGTGGCAGTGAGTGAAGCCAGCACGGTACCTGAAGCTCCATCTTCAGCCAGAGGGCAACCTAGCTAGGTTTTGCGAAGCAACACAACCTCACCAGACAAGAACCTTGTCCACGCCGCATTCAGACCCCAGTCACACAGCCCGCCCCTCATACGGGACCGCGACTTGCCCGCCGCGCCCACTTTTGTCTCCGCGCTGCGCTGCGCTGCACCGAGCTACGACCTCCCACCACCACCAACAAAGCAGAACAGCAGAACGCACACACACACTGTCCATAATTTTGTTGGAAGCTTTTTGGCCTGAGTGTCGAGGACAGTGAGGCGAAGACGGATATTGTAAAAATCTGGGAAAAGATGAATCAACCACCCTACCCTCCCAACATGCATCAGCATCCATCTCAACACCCGCATCAGCATCCGCACCCGCATCAGCAACAACATCCCCATCAACACCAGCAACCACACCCACTTTCTCACCAGCACCAGCACCAGCACCACCCGCAGCACCAAAGCCCTTACTCCACCGAGATGCACCCACCTCCGCACCCTGTGTCATCCTACCCGCCTCATCAGATTCAGCCGCTCCCATCTATGCCCCCTCCATCCTTCCAGGACGGTCTAGTTCAGGCACAGGCAGCCCAGGCGCAAGGAGCTCCGCCGCCCGGCCCGGCGAGTGAAGCCAGTCCTCAGTCAGGCTCGGGGGGTCAGGAACGTCCGCCACTGACGGCCGAGCAGCTGGAGGAGATCAGGAAGAACCTGATTCCCTTCTCTTCCCGAGACGCCCAGGGCAGGAAATACACGTAAGTCGTCATCTCATTTGCCGGGTCCTTTTTTGCTTCATGCTGTGTTGGGGTGAACTGTCTTCCGGTCTGGTGGGTAGGAGAATACTAATCCGACCTGCGACAGCCTCGATGTTGTGCAACAGCCACAACGTGCACGAATGTGTGGTTTTGGAGACAAGGTATGCTTGTGTTGTTGGACTACATCCCCCCTTCGCGATTGGCATGACGGCTCATTGAATCTGAACAGGACCGCCGTCCCATCACCCCTCCACCCTGTGTACGACTGATTGTGACGGACGAGAACACGGGCAAAGAAATTGATTGCAAGTGAGTTACCGTCGTCTTGCCCAGAACCTTGTCAGACTTTTGAAGTGCTTATGTGTGGATGATAGCGAGATCGAGTATGGCATGTATGTCCTGAATGTGGACTTGTGGGACGAACATGCGCTCAAGGAGGTCAATCTTGTTCGGCACACGACAGCTTCACCTTCCATCTCTTCGACTTCGCCAGCTTCCTATGCTCAGATGGAATCAACACCGGCATACTCAAACATTCTGCCCTCCAACATCCCGCCGAGGGATGTGGGATACGGGCAGGTGTACCCACCCCCCGGACAAGCCGTCGGTCCTTATGGGATGCAACCAGCATATGGAGGTGCGCAATCATCCGCAAGACTTGTTGATGCATTTTAAAGTGTTCTTTCTGCTGACCCGAGACCACAGCCGGCTTTGTTGGCGCTCCCAACAGCGGTTATGGACAGGCCCCCTATTTCAGAGACTACCCCCAGGAAGTGGGCATGTCGTATGGATTTGGGCCCCCGCGCGTCTTCGAACCGTCCTATAGCATCGGAGGGCAGCGCATGTCTATCGGCGGAACCGCGCCATCAGGCATGTTTACAAGAAATCTTATTGGGAGCCTGGCCGCCAGTGCCTTCCGTCTCAACGACCCAGATGACAAGATTGGCATCTGGTTTGTGCTTCAGGACTTGAGTGTGAGGACAGAGGGTTGCTTCCGGTGGGTTGGACTATTCCGTTAATCTCGGAAGCCTTATCATACTAACACCTCTCGACCATAGTCTTCGGTTCTCCTTTGTCAACGTCGGAATTCCCATGTCGAACCCCGGATCTGGCGCCAACGGCGTCGTCAACCAAGGAAGTGCCCCCCTACCCGTGTTGACCCGAGTGGCATTGTGTGACGGGTGTTGCC